GTCCGGTTTTTCAGCTCAAGTGAGCCCTGAGAGTTTTGAGTGTGAGCTTTTGTTAAAGCTAAGAAATGAAAATTGGTTTCCATCCCTCTTTTGGCTTGGTTTGATCGAAGGGGGCCGAGTGCTTGCTTGTACAGGTGGTCGAGTATCAGAGATGCTGTCGAAGATTCGGCAATCACCCGGACCATGCCACAAGCGAAGGCCAGTTTCTGGCATTCAACTACTGACCTTTTCGTCGTCCCTGCGAGCAGCAGTGTTGACTGCTGCCCTCCGTGACTCATCTGGCGAGGGGGAAGCTGTTATGACCGGCATCAGTAGGCGCCATGCTGTCGCTGAGAAGCGTGGCCGGGCAGCGTTCCCACGCCTAGAACCCAGTTTTCTCGGAACCAGCGTCCAGAAATGACGGGGGAGCGGCGCTCTTTTAATCTTCAAACAAGTAGCCGGCTCGCCGAATGCCTATGCCCGCCAGGCATTGTCCCTGCTAGCCGGCGGATGAGACGTCACGTCGCCACGAAGCGGTAAGCCGTTCCAGAGGGGACAACAAAGACAGCGTCTTCCTTTGTAGAAACGGCGACCGCCGCCACAAAGTGCCCTGCTAATTGAGCAGACAGATTGGCGGACCGTTTGATGTCTGCTGTCCGAAGCTTGGGACCCCTCGACCAGTGACACACACGACGAGCAAGAGCCCCTCTGGCGCCACCTTTAAGTGCAGTGATCTTGACTCGAAATTGGATGTTCACGTGCGCCGGGCATGCTCGTACCCCTCACCTGTTGTGTGTGTGTGTGATTGGTGGTCCACTGAAGAAGGAGGAGCCCGAGAGGGCTTATAACGGCGCCGCAGAGTGCAGGACGTCGCTCTGAACCAAGTAAAGGTTCAACCACCACGTTCGTGGTTTGCGAACTCCTAACCTTTCATGCTGTAAATATTTGTAAATAGTGCCATAAACCTGTTTGTTTTTCGTATCCCCATCTTGTAAGCGGTCGTTTCCTCAACCCGAAGCTACACCACGCTACCACAGCACCCCGGGATCACAACAACTGGTGATCAGCGGTGGGATACGACTCAGCACCCCGAGTCGCAACAGTCCCTCAACCAGCAGCCCTATTTGCAGACCCTGAGCACGAGTGGTGTCCACAAGCAATGGTAGAGAGATACCAACTACATATCACTGGAGAGGGTCAATACATCTGTAAAGGCATTTAATGAATGCCTTTGCAAGGGTAGATCAGTAGCTCAACCAGCAGCCCAATTCACGGTGCTCAAGTCCTAGCGGCATCTACAAGCAACGGTAGAGACAGACCAACTAGGTATCGTTGTAGAAGGTGCCCCACTGTACCATTCCTCTTCACTAAAATTACCCCCCCCCCCCCCCCCCCGTGATGAAGAAAGAGCGATTTGGTGATTTAGCAGCTCGTCTATATGAAAGGATTATAGTACGGCTTGAGACACCCAGTGATGACTATGTCGTGATAATGAATATATCTAGGGCAAAGATGCCACAGAAATGTAAAAGTCCTCATCGCAGCTCGTCCAATGTGATGGAAGTGTGTGTTGATGACGTCCACGCAGCTGTAATCATGAACACAGGAGCCACTGAATGTGTTATGAATGACAAATTTTGCCGCTTCCTTCAGAAAGTCTTTCCGGAGTGTGTCTCTGCACCACTAGGGCTCGGCATATCAATCGCTTAGCTTTGTGCGGACAATGGGGAGGTTGCATACGCCACCGAATTGATCCGCACTTCTTTTTGCTCTCACTGCGTCATTCTTGGCTGGGACTTTCTCTCATGCTACCATGCCATTATCGAAAACGCATGGGCCGAAATAGCACTCTCGCCAGTCTCAGATTTGACAACCAGCGATAGTACTACTCAGCATTCCAGGAAACTGTTCATCAGAGCTGACACGTATGTTCCTCCTAAAGTGACGATGGTCATTCAAATGTACTGCAGTGGCTTCCTAGGTCTCTTACATTACTTTCCTCCGTCTGGCCGTGTCCTTTCTCCTTCCTTCCTCATCTGGCATTTTTCTCATGTGGAAGAGCTCGCAGCTACCTTTTGCAACTGCGGATAGCACAAAAAGCTCTTGAACAATTTTCAATTCCTATCCATTTCTATAACCTATCAAAAGGGAAATGTATTGGTGCCATGGATACCATGAATGTTGTGCAAACTTTTGCTGTGCCTGACGGCATGTAATGTGCAAAGCTTCCCAATCTCGTAGCTATTTCTACATAAGCAGACTTGTCGAGCCGTGCATTTGCTTCCTTTTATTGCTGGAAACCTTCCCAGTTGTTGTCTCTCTTGGAAGATTGTCATTCTTCCTCTGATGGGGATGGGAACAACCTTCTCTCGGCCGAACGTCTATTGAAAAATGTATCAAATCACCAACGACTCCAAACCATCATTGCGCATGTGCGCCCATATTGTGTTTTTCCACTCTGTATAATCAACGAACAAGTTGATGACATGCTACGGTGCTGTGTAATTTGTCCGTCTAAGAGTCCATGGGCACCTCCTGTCCTGCTTCTTAGAAAAAAAGATGGCTTCACATGATTCTGCGTCTATTATCGGTGACTCAACAAGCTCACTTACAAAGACGTTTATCTCCTACCCCACACAGACATCGCAATTGACAGTCTCCAAGAAGCTGAATGCTTCCTTCGATTTACTCTCAGGGTTTTAGCAAGTTTCATTGGGGGAAATAAATCGGCCGATAACTGCATTAATAATGCCAGCGGCCTGTACAAGTTTAGCGTCATGCCTTGTGGCCTTCATAATAAGCCTGCGATATTTCGAGTGCATGATGGACACACTTCTGAGAGGCTTGAAGTGGCACGCTTGTTCATGCTATCTTCGCATTCGTCATTTTTGCTGCTGAATTCAACACGAACCCGTACAACTCATGTCATATTTTGACATGCTCATTAAATGCCGGCCTTCAACTAAATCTCAGGAAGTGGCTTTTTGCTAAATTCAACTCACAGTAGTGAGCTAAACCATGTGCATGGATGTAATTCTTTCTATTAGCTTGCTTGATTGATTTTTTCATTTATTGATATGTGGGGTTTAACGTCCCAAAACCAAAATTAGCTCATCAACGTCGATCAAACAATTATGCAGTTTTGTCATACTTCAGGTGCTTCATTCATGGAATTTGCCACCCCAAATTCACCTATAAACCCCTCAACTTGCAGTCAGCAGAGTGCAACAGGCCGTTCACAAATCTTTGTTGCTTGCAGACATCTCCCACAATGCACCAATAGGAGGCACTGGAGAAGATGGCTGCTAAAGAGTTCCTCTGTGCTACAGATAAAAAGTTAAAAACTGTCTAACCCTAAGTTTTCCAAATGGGTCTATAATATTCTCATCCAGAAACTTTTGCCCAGCTTAGTTGATTGAAAAGTTTGTTAGTTCTCTTGCCTAATTAAGCAACTAATCAGAACACAAAAAAGTATTCCAAATCACTCCATGCAGTGGTGAGCAACATGCATTTATATTTAGTCGCATAGTAATTGAGTGCATTGTCATATCTTTAAACTACGGCTAGTGTTAGCTGGTTCACCCTGTATATTTAAACGTGCCAATACACAATGCTAAAAATTCTCCACAGAGGGCTGGAATACTACTCTAACACATGTTAAAATTAGGGTTGCAATTGTAATAGCATCGTTTGTCTGAAGTCTGCCCCGAAACCCCCTCCTGGTTTACATTGGTGGTAGCGCTTTATTTGTGCAAATATGGCTCGAACGCAACTAAGCTAGACTCCTGTGGTGAAGGGTGAGTTATGACTGATCAATTATTAGTGTCAATTATTAGCTGCAACAAAAATTTTGTCGAACACAAAAGCCTCATGTTGAAATAGTCACACTACTTCGAAACGAAAAAAAAAGGAGGCTTCTAAAGAACACTCACCCACACAAAGATTTACACTTTGTGATATGCCCACACAGTACAGCCCTACATGATTGCTCAAACACCAAATCTCCCAGCTCAAGTTTTCACTCTTATAACAAGGTTCAATTGATCAATTAGGCTTTCTTGTCTTTCTCTTTCTTTTCGCAGTGTACGTACATTGCTAGGCAGGAATTAACAGGGGGCGGAGAGAAGGAGTGTGATAAAGAAGCAAACAGAATACTTGCTAAGGAATAGCAAAATTGCGTAATAAACATATACAGGCAGATAAAAAAAGGGAAGAGGGAGAGAAAAAAACCACAAGAGGAATGTACCACAAGCAAATAAGGAAAGGGAAAGAGCAAAGGTGTGAGTTTCGGGGCTACTGAGCATCTACGGATCGAGGGACTGGGGCAAGGAAGTTGACAGGGCGGCGAGGAAGAGAAGCCAGGAGGGGTACTTTGCCACATGGACAGCAGGAAGGAAAGGGGACTTCAGACTCTGTGCCACTGTAGCACGGACCTCACTGGTTGGAAGGTGGCAGGGGGGAGAAAGGTATCAGCGCACTTATCAGGGCCAGAGTTATCTTGCCATTACACTTACTATAGGGTTGTGGAAGGTATGCGACACCTGTACGAGAAATGAGGCACATGAAGCCAACAGGTTTATTATGCCGCTTTCACACACATTTTTGAAGTGGGGGAACTTCTGGACAATGTACTGCTGCGACTCGAAGGTCCGAGGCTGCTACGAAAAGAGGGCACAAGCAAGAAGAGCGCAGCAGCCGAGAAACGACAGCAACTGGGTTTTTTTAAAACTCCTGTGACACTCACAGAAATTTACAAATGTAAGACGGTTATTTTAGTAAGAGGGTTTTTTTCTTCTTTACAAATAGTGCAGTGCTTTACAATGCTGCCTGTTGTGTGCAGTAAAACCAGTTGAGCCGAGATTAAAGAAGGTTCAAGGACGATCACTTTCCTCTCTAACAAGCACCCTCATGTGCCATAAACATACGTAATGAACACCTAGCATGAAGGAAGCTGCATAACATTTCCATCACTCTCAAAGTACAATGAAGTCAGGCGGTCTAAGGAGTTTTTAGAGACCCACCTGGTGTTGATGAGGTACTGCGCTAGGTTGATTGCTTCCGGCGTTCCTGAGATGGTGACTGTTCTGTCTTTGGACCCCTCTTCAGAGTTTGATATCTTTATTGTTGCCCCAGAAAGCTGCCTGCAGACCAAAACGAAGCGGATACTTCTTTGTGAGCAAAGCATTATTCGAGGCGTGACAAGTGCGAAGTGAATTTACAACACACTCAACCGTTATGGCTTGGACACACATTCTGCATGTAGTCGGAGAGTGGCTAAAAATGTACCAACTGCTTAGTGTAAGGACAGGGGCTAAGGCAGGGGCTACTAGTTTTACCGTCTGCTTTTTGGAAGTTGGCACGTGCCGGTAAAAACAGTGCCGATTTAGTTCTTGATCATCATAACCTTTACGCCTTGATTACCGAGTGTCGCAAATTTGCAACATAACGAAAAACTTTGAGCAAGCAAGTTGTAAAATGCATGCTGCCTTTAATGCCAGCTGTCAAGTATTAAAGGGGAACGTAGCTTTTAGCATAAAAAATCTAGCGCCATCTTGTGGGAGCTATTGTATGCTAGACCCAATTGTTTTGTAACTGATGGCGGAGAGCATGCAACAGCTCTCACTTCATTCTTTCTTGCCCAGGTGACCCAGGTTCAATTGTAAATAATTTATAATTTTGTTTCTAAGGTGTGTACGCACCCAACAGGTGGCACACAACATGTTACGTAGTCCTGAAGTACGTTTTTTGTTGGCGAGGTCAACGCTTCTGTGGCATATAGAGAATTTGTGACACACCTAAAAGTAGGCGAAGTTGCATTTTAGACAATTTACGTGTGAAATGAAATAAAGATAGCTATTTAAAGCTGGAAAAATAAAACAACCATTATTTTGTTCATCAGTTTCAAAACTTGGGCATTGAAGGGATAATTAAGACACTCCGTAAAGTAGACTCAGGGTACTACCATATGGTTGTAATTAAGCTTACCTAATTACAGTTCATCACTTGGCATTAATGCATGTTTAACTTTGTCTTCTTGCTCACATAAAAACGCATTTATAGTACTCAAATTGTGGCTCTAGAACCTTGACTGTAAATGAGAGTTCTAATTTTTAATGCATGAACAGAAAGTATTAGAGGTGATGCGTACCTGATTTCATTGATTTTGGAGCCTCCTTTGCCGATGATGCACCCTATGAGGTCGTTGGGGATGGTCATTTCAGTGGTTGTGGTGCTTGCAGTGGCAATAGCAGCAGCTGCAGTGTTGGGCCGCAAGTTGTTGGTCGTAGCCAGCGCTGCAAGCGCTGTCACACAAAGCGGCACCCAAAATAAGCATGCTGGCAAAATACATACAACTCACGCGAGCAACCTACTTTAGCGCAAGTCATACCTCCCTTGTGCTAGACGAACTAGGAGGTCGGGACAATGGTGTTAATCGAGCAAATGTTGCACAGCCCATTCACAGCTCAGCCGAAATCTCGCTCTTCAGACGTACAGCCTTCGTTTGGCATAAACGTCTGCCCGAAGATTTTTCTGGGCTTCCATATCCTCAAACAGGTAGCATGAAGCTTAATTTGTCCTCTCTGGACCTTTGCTTTCAGCCCGCAAATGGCCAAACGACTATATGAGCCAGTTTGAGCAAGCAGGCAGTATGTGTTGTTATTTTTCTTTTTCTTAGTCAGACAAGTGGAAGTATTTACCTATAAAATATACTTTCGAAACGTTCAGATTTACTGTGATAGCCTGGGAATTTAAAGCTTCATGCGTTAAATACTCAATAAATGTGTTGCCACATCTAGAGAGCACTGCATTCTTGGTTGCATTAGTGAAACGAGATATATAAGTTCAAACATATTAATGTTATCTAAAATACTATACAGTGCGTAAAACAAAAAAATTAACACCACAATAGAAGTAGAGCTTCCTGTATAGCTGCTGCATTTCTCAATCATTTTTTTTTTCCCATTCAACGTTTGTTCTGCACCATAAAACATATAGTAATGCATACAGGGGTTTTTGTATGGAGCACACTAGTGTCATGGTTCGCAAGAATTCACTGCTCATACACACTTTTTATCTGAAAAAAAATTCCCACACGGAAGTTATTGGACTATACTGAGAGTAATCTATGTTAACAGACCGGCTGTCTGGTACTTGGCTGACGAGCTTTCAATTAGCAAAAATATTTATCCCATGGAGGGGACACTGCTTATTAATGTTGATACAAAGAAGCAAAGGGCATCACTTTGGGCATACTTACGAGGACCCCGCTGTAAAAAATGTCATAAGATCAAAAATGCTTCATAACTAAGGACTAGCATACAAAATGTTACTGCTACTTCCAGCATGCACATAAAAATATCTATGGTACTTCATTTGAAGGCACATCTTCGAAAAAATTCCACTAAAAAGCTTCATTACCATAGCCTTTTGCATGAAAACAGCTGCTTATGCTGAATTTCGTATAAATTAAAGAGTTCTTTATAAATGGCTTTTTTACTAAAAGCATCTCACCAATAACAACCAAACGAGGTATTCAAGAAAAGTGCACCACAGATGCAATGTCCGAATATAAAGTTTACCATTTCTGGGTCAGATTCGAAAGCATCCATAGTCTAGTAGAATGGCCCGTTACAAATGACTGTCTCAATCATGCAATAACGTCACAACCACTGTCCAAAAATGCTTTTTTCCAAGCTACTACACAATCAACCATAAATAAACTAGTTAGGCACCCAAGACTACTTGCATGGAAGACACAGTCCAACTAACATTTTCAAGTGCTCATGACAAAAACACTGGCATTTCTTTGAGCGCTACTGTCTCCAGTCGTTCATCTGATTTCGCGCAAAGAAGACTGCAGATGGATTGACCGCTGGCTAGATTTGGCTGGCCACCCACATATACAATAACGCAGCCCCCTCCAAAAGAGATATATTGTCAAGAACTTTGACTGCCTGCCTGAATTGCATTATTTTCTGATAATGTCAGCACAGCATGAGAACTTTTGATACATAGTACACTTTGGTAATAACCAGCCACTGACAAAACACATAGTCTTGACTCCTTGTTGAACATGTCAACATCTATTTTTGTTTCATGGCTATGAATGTGTTTAACATGTCAGCATATCCACAGCCATAACACAAAAAAATACCCTCTGAAATTTTTAAAATTTTTCTATACCTACATTTGCGTTTTTATCGCTTGACAACTACAGAAAGACTATGTCCAATACTTCTCTTTCCTGAATTTTATGGCAACATACTTACCTAACTACTCCCGCCTTTTTCTAACCTTCATTAGAGCTACAGTAAGGCTTCAGAAAACCTTCACCATCTTCGGCTCTCTTAGAGAAGTTCTCAAGAGAGTCTCGCAATACCAACCACTTTTTGTAAGCCACACGTACGCTATTAGGGCCCAAAAAATGTAAAATTGAAGGAGAGTTCAATGTTTATATGTCCAGTTTGCATAATAATCAGTCAATACGCACTAATAATAACCCCCTTTGACAAGAAAGAAATGGACTGTGACACACAACCTGCATGACCGAAATGAACACATGGATAAGAGATAAATAAAAAAAGAAAGGCAGTTCAAACTTTCTTTCACTACATGCCGGCATTGCTTTCAACACTCGGGTTGAATCTCTGACAATGCATACCAAATACGTAACGATGATGCTTGAAACGTGGCAAAATTAACGCCCCTGTCATACTCAATCAGGAATCTGAACAACACAACATTGGCAGAAGGCTTTTGACAAAATCTGCCGGTGGTGCAGCCGAATTTAGACTGCACAGAGCTCACACTTATGCAGTGCAGCACAGGAGCAAGCACTCCAGTATGAATACAATGCTCCGTACAAGTGTAAAAAAAAAAAATTTGGACACACTACTCACAGTGGCAATTCTTACTTCATACAAGTCAGTTAATAATGTGCCATGCTCACCAGTTCGTTCTGACAATCTACAGCACTGTGTTCTCTTAAAGAAACCACATAACTGGCAGTACTATATGCACAATAGCTGAACGCCATCGTACTGAATGCAAATACAGAGAATGCAAGAAAAAAAAATTTATAAACTGACAGTTGTTTTGCGAATTTCATGCTTTTGTGCCAACGTCAGTGTCTATGCTAATACCATGAAATATAACAGGCATTTTGATGCTAGGATGCAAATGAAGAGATTGGACTATTAAAAGTGAAACACTTCAATATTATAGAGGAGAAACAGGGTGACAGGACGAGGATGACATCTGCGTGGTAAAAGTCTTCCGTGCCTTTGCGCCATAACTGAGCTGCATCAATTGGGAGCCAAATACAAATCTGATCTTTCTTTTAATACTGTACCGCTTATGTCTGAAGAGTGCCAGCACTGTGGGTGTAGATGACCTTGGGCCATGTAATGAGGGCCTGTCTTGCATCGCCATTGAACTGAAGCGTCTGAGAATGAAAAGTATCGCAGTCCTTACCTTCCGGTGCGTTACAAGACCAACAGTACCACGAAGGTGTCATCACAATGCCCAGTAATAGACCTGCCCTCAAATGTAGCATGTACACAATCATAGCGTGAAGTGTATACTCGTTGCAAGAGCAGGCAGACGAGAACCAGCTATAAAAGTTTGTCATCTGCCTTCTGGCATTAATGGTACAATTAAGCCCAGAACAACTGGTGACTAAGGGCAGCACTTCATCATAAGGCTGACAATACAGGACAAGTTCAAGCAACTGCTGGGACAGGTGGCTGAGATGAATTTTCAGACGACTGAGTGGTGCAATCTTGCTACGCTCTCTCTTTGTGAAAAACACATCTCATTAGGTCAACTTGATCTTTGCATCTCATAAATCCTTGCTAGTTCCACATTTGCACCATAGGGGTGTGATCAACAGAAACTCATAACTAACAAAGACAAGAAGCTCGCTAACTGTATAGGGAAACAAAAAAAAGAAAACTACAGTGAAGACCTTCCCATCAGTATGAGTTTTCCTATTTGCTAGATGTCTCTCTTGTCATTGTTAGCGTACGGAGTAAAGTGCAGAAATGGTTGAGATACATTTCCTAGCCCAACCTTGTTTTGTTGAAAGGGTTTGTTATGGAACCTATGAATGGGCTCTCAGCTTAAGACACCCGCCATTTGAATGGTGAAGATTCTCAATGGGCTATCCTGCCACGATTAGTGCCACTGCAACTGCCACGCTTGAGCTCTGTGCAGCACACGGCTGCTGCCAAAGCTGCCATCGCCGGAGTGAGGCAGCTCCCGATGCTTCGTAACTGGAGAGAAGCCCCGGAGAAGATGGGGGAGTGCCAGGAAGAGGGGCGCAGGTGGTGGTCGGTGGGATGAAGGTGTCGGGTGTTAGGAGGGGCGGTCGGCAACTGCTCGCTCTCTCACCTTGCGGGTTGATGGCCCCGACGCTGTGTCCTGGAAGCAGCGGAGCATGCTGCAAAGCCAGCTGGTGCAGTTTGGTCAGCTGCGGGGCGGGAACAAAGAAACACGAGGGGCACGACAGGTTGGTCGCCTGTTTGACGCCTGCCATATTGGAGGCGGTGGGGGCCGGCACTGAGCCCGGCTGCAGTCGGAGGAGGCAGAGGGAAAGAGAAGCCCACCATCACGGGGAAAAAGAAGAAGAAAAAAAGAAGGAAGGGGACCGGGGAGCAGTCATTAATAGGTGTCCTCCTCACGTGGTGCTGTTCTCGCGGCAATCTCCTCTCCTCGCACACAGGGGACCGCACGGCCTACATCCCGGGCCGGGGATGGCACACGGGAGCCTGGAACGAGGGGGGCTACCGCCTACACTATTCAGGCTCATCAGCGAAAAAAAAAAGGAGTCCGAAGCAGAGACACAATGTGTGAGTAGACTCGAGGGCTACTCGTGCCTGCAGGGTGCCATGTGGCAAAGCTTGTGAAGCAGTGTGAAAATTTGTTTGAGGGCCAAAAATGGGTCATGGGTGAATATATACTGTGCCGAGTGCAAGAATAACCTAATTCATTTTCACCTGGAATATCCAAATAAAAAAATGCACACGAATTAAAAGCTGAACTGAGTCTGTGTGTGCTAGTTAGGGGCTAAATAGTCTTCCTGAAGTGACATGTTTCATTGTTTAGCCCCAAATACATTCTGAGGTCTGAAAAATTATACATTACAGATGCAGCCTCACGCACATTCACCAGTTCGAATTTCACCACTGAATCACGAAACAACACTTTGAAAAAGCACAAGTCCTTGTGTTTATTGAAAATTTCATAGATGCATAAAATTCACGCTTCTTCAGTATTACAGATTTCTGAGAAGTCGTGCTTTATTCGGAACTCTGCTGGCCACGTCACGTTTGAAAAATTTTGTGGCGTAGTAGCCATAAAATTTGGCGGCAACTACTCCAGGCTAAAACAAGCAATAACTGTGTGCTGTGTGCGCACTAGGTGGGACGTCAGGTATGGGTTGGCAGGTGGTTGGGTGTGGTAAGGTCGGAAAGTTGTGGTTAGTCTGAGATCACAAATTGACTGTTAGTGTCCCTAATTTTGGCCTTCTTCTATTAGAGAAGAAAATCTTAGTGACTTCTATTCAAACTAAAGCACTGTGTATACGTTATTGCTGAAGAAATATTCTGCTAAATTAATCATTTGTGTATCTATGTCAGTATGTGTCTCAGAGCCTGCTGAGCCGACATTGATCAAGAATAAGCTTCTTTTTTTTTCTTTTACTAAGATTTACTAGCTCCCAATCTGTACTAAGAAAGTCTGGGTAGCTGCAGTTGATAAGGGATGTAACAGAAAGTGACAGCTCGACTACACAATGATAACGACAGGAAAGCCTGACAAAGATGAGTAAACTAAAGGAATCCCCTGATAGTGGGCTTCTTTCTCGTCTCTTTCTCTTTTTTTTGCTTCCTCTTTTGCAAACAAAATAACTCCACAGCTCGAATTAAGCACTTTACAAATACGCAGAAATAAGTTGACAGAAGGTGACATTGAGAGAGAGGCAAGGATAGGAGGTACAGAATATGGAGTGCGCCGGTGTTGATTTTACTACAGTGCGGAAACGAATGATCTCCAGATGCAAGCCTGTCCATAAAGACGCAAGACAAGAGGCAATACAAGCAATAGTAGACTGCACCCGAAAAGTGGTCTCATGAAAGAGACTTGGCTTGGCAGTTTGCAATTCAATGGAGGACCATATAAGTCTGTTTCTCTCTCTGTTTAAATTTTTTTTGATAGTATAGCATTTGGCATTAATCTGCAGCTTCAGTGTGAAATTTCTAAAGCAAGAAAGCGAATCATAGGGGTTTACAAAAATCAGAAGGACTGCAGAAAAACTTAAATGGCAAGATCAATGCTTAACTGGAAATTTACTGCATGCACTCTCAGGTTCCAAATGTTTCACACATACAGTACCTAGCTGCAACAATGCCAGCTCTACACTGATTTCACATCACTCCTTTGCAAGCATTACAATAAAAAATGTGGGTTTATCCCCTTCATGCACAAAATATGATGCACAGTCTAGAAATGTCTAAATTTCACACAACTCTAAGGCACTGGATACTATGTTCCAAGCAAGCAAATTAAGAAAAACGTTTTTAGGAAGTTTTGGAAATTAATCTTATTTAATTACTATTCTGCAGCCAGTCATGCTTGATTTTTACACACTAATAAAAAAAAAAAAAAGAACTTTGGGCTCAAAATTCACAAGCAGTTCGTTTTTGATGGTGTTCATTTTGAGCAAAGAAAATAATAGTAATGAAGTTCCTCCTGGAACGTGGCACGTTGAGGGACCTGACGAACATCGCAGTGCCTTCCTCAAAATGATTTGCATCAGTCACATGCAGCACGTTGGGGTTAAGCCAAGACGCGTGGACCGCGCAGAAGGTTCAATTACTTCAATGTGCAATGCATTTTGCCCTTTGTTTCCCACTAGTCTGAGGAAATGGCAATAACAAGTTGCGTCTATATATGTAGACAGTGCGCCTCAAGGAGATAATACAGCATTTTATCCTAAAAGGGTATAAAACAAAGAAGGAAAAGCGGCATGAATATTATTAGTGCAAACTCTCAAAGCAAACAGTGCAACATCATGGTTCCCGAGCACAGAGGTGGCAAGCGTTGAGTCGCCAAAGATGCTCACATCAGGATGTGGAATTGCATATTGCCCTTGAACCGTGTAGGCTTGACCGCCTGCAAATATCACTGGTGGCATGGCTGGCTTTGGACGGTATGGTATTGTCGCTCCCTTTGGAGGAGACTGGGCAGAAGAAAGCAGAGAAAGGGGTGATGTTACTGTGGTGGACACGTTCAGCAAAGCACCTTGAATCCAGAACTGCACGGGCAAATGCGAAAACATGCAGTATCAGTTAGGAACTGTTCTACGAAAATAACAGACTAGAATGTGCCAATACCAGCAAATCGCTGTAGTTTTCAGTTCTTTTATAAAAGATCAGTAAAGATTTCTGTGTACATAACGAATTTATTATACTAAATGAGTCACATGTATAAAAGAATGAGAGACAGAAATGCTGCTAAGAGTCCTACAAAAGAGGGTGACCAGTGCCCTCAACCTTGCTGGCTATATAGTGCACTGGCTCGTTTAAAAGGACCAGAACTGGCCATAACATGTCAGACTGTGTATTCTTTTCATCATTTGAATGAGATTTCAATTTGTAAGTTGCATTTTAAGATCACAAAAACCAGCCCATTGCATCACCTGGTCTCAAGCCTTGGTACTGCATGAATGAGTGAGACAAGCCTTGGCACTAGCGTGAAGATAGGCACCTATAACACACTTAAGCAAGAATAACTCTGGTGAACTAATGCCTAATGGATGACAAATAGGCAAATACAAAACTAAAACCTTACCAGTAAGCAAATATAAAACGAATACATACACGTTTTCAAATTTTCATTACAGGGGGTAGCCATATTAAAATGCGCCCTGTTTAACATGCAGGTTTGATGAAATCGCAATCTAGGGCTGTGCGTACTTGAGCTGCAGGTTATTCGTTGGTGTGAGATCCGCGCTACAGTGTTCGTGAATTTTTCGTTTCCTTGGACTGTTGGGTGATACCGTCGCTGCCACTCACTGATCTGTCGCTGCCTGAATCGTTCAGCGGAGTGCATTTAAGAGTAAGTTTTGCGTCTACAAACGGCGCTGCTTCCTCATCGGTACTGACAGCAGCAAGCGCAGTACTTTCAGCGATTTGCGTACAGGCGTAATCGCACTTGTCTGGAGCAGCAGGGCGTGTGGCAGAGGCCGCTGTTGTCCGCAGCTGCCACTTCCCATTAGCGACAAGCTTCCTTTCATGCTTACATTAAAAGTGCATGCGGTACAGTCGAAACCCGCAATAACGAAATCGCCGGGGAAACCAAAAAATTTCGTTTTCGCGAGAATTTCATTGTCGTGAGTATGAGACATAAAAACAGTGATACGGCCAGCAGAACGAAAATTTATTTGCAGAAGTCGGTCAACTTACTTTGCCAACTCTTGCCATGCAACAACTTCGAAGCTCTCCCTTCGCACTGGAAAAAGTGGTCTATTGTTACGTCGTTGTCATGTGCGCCAAAGAAGGAGCGAAAGGTGTCCAGCGCATCCAAAACAACCCTCGGGTTGTTTTGGATGCGCTAGCGCGTTGTTTCTGCCCGCGATCTCGCTGTCAGCGGAGTTAGGGCTAAAGCCGACTCCGATGACGTGCCGCGCTCGTAGACCGCGCGCCCGCTCGTAGTAATCTGATCGTGTATCCGGTGCGGCCACTCGTAGTAATCTGACCGTGCCACTGCTTACAGCTTCATTGCTTGTGACGAAGCACGTCGCCACGAGTGCGCTAGCGCGTCGTTCCTGCCCGCAGTCTCGCTTTCGACGGAGTGAGGGCTAAAGACGACTCCGATGACGCGCCGCGCTCGTAGTAACCTGATCGCCCATTCGCCTACTGCTCTTGACTAAAGCGTAACTATATCTTAAGTGGTCATTAAGCCGCAAACACGTCATGAAGTAGCGATTTTCGAGAGCCATGTCCTCGCGACGCACAAGCAGCAGACGACGATCTCCCGGAGCGAGCATCGGGCCAATGGCGAGGCGAGCTGACGCAACATGGCGGCCACAGCCAATCAAGGGCCTCGAAACGCCCTTCAAACATTTGGTTTTTGTGCGCTTGTTTTTAAAGGGAGGAGCCAGCTGAGGCGGGAAGGTTAAACACGGAGGAATGCTCTTTCCGATTAGCCCAAGAAGCGGCTCCCGACCCCGCCATCGCAAAGCCATAATTTTTTTGAAAATCGCTGTTTTCTCCCAATTTCCAGAAAAAGTTTCGCTACCTAGGTTGGTGAAATGAATTTTTCGAAGCACTTCTGCACGGTTATTCGCGATCCCGAAGCCGCGTTTCCCCTAAAGTAAACAAAAATGACGGTACCCACGCTAGCATGGCAAAAGCAGAAGTTTACAAATTTTGAGTGCGCATAACACGCATGCGAGCATATTTTCGACAGTTAATTTTTGGCGGGAGGGTAAAATAAGGCCCGCACTGTAATAGAAAATTGGTTAATGCGGGATCGCTGTCCAAAAACATTTCGTTGCCGCGAGATATGTAATACATGGGCTTCTATGAACGTTCGCCGGGGATCTGGAAATATTTTGTTGCCGCGGGGATTTTGTTATTGCGGGTTTCGACTGTATAACCATGTTACGTATTATTACAGCATTTGTATTTGCACGTTTTAGCAGCAAATTACAGCTAAAACGGCTGGTTGTATGCTCTAGACAACGGTGACTCTCTCTGTACCTTTTTGCAGCATCCGAGATGCAGCACAGGAACGTTGGTCTATTCGGTTTTTTTGCCGCTACCGAAGTGTCGGGAACAGAGGCGTGACAATGGCGACACGCGGTGGTTCTTTCGATTTACCGATGACACCCACCGTTCTCGCAATTCAGGCGACGACGGAAAGCGATGCAGCACGCACATATCACAATGGCACTCATCCCCTGGCGTGCTGTGCTGCAGACATGATTTCACCCAAATTTTTCTTTTTGCGCTGATTCTTCGTTCACCCATACATCACACAGTGATGGCCAGATCGTCTGTTCTTGAAATATGCACAATTTCCTGCCACGAGAGTCACTTCTTTTCAGAGAGAGGTGCCTATTACACATACTACATTCAAGCATACCATGTGTGCAGGTACAGCATGTGCCTTGCATATCTCAAGGCACGATGACAACACTAAGAACATACCTTGACCACAGCGGCTTAGGGGTTTGAGAGTGCTCTGGTGAAAAGGTGTATATATAGACCTAGTAGTCTAATACCGAACTAACAGCCAAATGCAGCTCCACCAAACCTATATAGAACCAATGCCCCAATAGGCATCATGAACCCAATAGACTGTTGCTGTTTATTATTGAAAATTTCCACCAGGACCGACGCCTTCAAAGCTGTTTCAGACACAGCCATGGCAATTTCACCACATGAGGCAAGTAAGAATGCATGAATTCTTTATTTTGGATTGCGCAATTTTTATGACTATATCAAAGTTCCTACGGCTATCTGAAAAATGTATAGTTGACTCTGGAGTTTCAAGGTACACTGAGGATGCCCATCAGTGAGTGCCATATTTGTGAGGGCGCAAAGCACCACCAAAGTAAGAGCAGGTGCACCACAAAGCTCGAAACATTCTTACCTCCATCATGACACAACAGATCTGGTAGATGCATTTCGTGATGGCTTCAGCAGTACCAGAAACAGTTACGGCTCGTTCGGTGGAATTTGGGAGCATCTCACTGGCCACCTGAATGGAAGCACCCGTCACCTGCAAAATTTGTTCAGAAAGGAGGTTAGTGTCAGGCTGAAGCAAATGTGCAGCAATATGAACGTAAACCGTTCATAATCGCTACTTACTAATTACATGTATTAAATAATGACAAAAATGTTAAAGACAACTGCAGTTTCATACAAGGGGTTAAAAGGACATTCGTTGCAGCAAGTGTGCGACATGAATACGTAAAAACGTTTCCTGCCCTTAGTTTAGCACAAGTCGCAAGAAGTATCTGCACTTATGCTTAAGAAATAACACAAAATAACGCTTTGTAAGGGGGTCGTTTTGTCAGATACAGCAATCGTTTGTTAAAATGCTGCCCAGCACGACACAAAGAGACGACCAATTTGTATGCCGATATGGGCCAAGCATAGTGTACTCATCCGTCAAAATCTTGCCACAGTACCATTTAGGCAGGATTTCTGCACACTGAAGCAAACCTATGTGAACGATACAACGTCTAAAGGTGGGGCCAGATGCTAACTTGTTTGGGCCAGCCAAGCTTGCGTTTCGGTGTGGTGAAGCGAATTCTGATTTCAGCGATGTGCCACATGATGTGGACAAGCTGACATGATGTTCATGTACAGTCAAATCCCTTTATAAGATAGATTGATATAAGAGACAAATGGCTATAATAGACACCAGTGTGCCTACAGTAAAATACAGGTTGATAAGAAATGCATACGAGCTACCCTGCTTGTAAGAGATATCTCATATAAAAAACAAGAATTGCTGCCTGAAGCATGCCTCTTGTAAGAGGGTTCAACTGTATACCGTGTGAAAGGGCATTGGCACGCGTTGATTTCGATCGACATATGTCAACATAATTAACTGCTGCATCAGGCAACATGAAGCCATTCTTTCTAGTATTAATGCATGATGCCCAGTTGCACTTTGTTCAATCAGACTTGCAACCTGCAAGAGCTGTCCTGGTGCTGCATAGAATGCAGACATAAGCTCGAATACACAAGACACTACCACGTTTACTCGCATTATCCTCGCACTTTTCTTGAAGGAAAACTGATGCAAAGTTGGGGGATGCGAGAATTACACGAGGAAAACTTTCCATGAAAACGTACAGAGCGAAAAAAAACAAAAAACGAAGCGGCAGCAAATAGGGATTCTCACACCAGCAACCAACAGCAAGCTTTAAGAAGTACTAATTAAAACTTACCTCAACAATAAAAGCAGAGGTTTAACACAAGAAAAGATTTATTTGAGACACAAAAAGTGGAAGCAAACAGTCGAAAACTAGAATACCATACGCAAAGCTTGTGGGCGTTGCGGGCATAGCGGTAGCATTCGTTGCTTAATAGGAGCCCTCAAAAGGTGAGCGTAGGACGTCAGTATTGGGCTGATGGCTATTTAACAGAATCGTCTGCAGTTTCCTCCAGAAGAAATAAAGTTTACCATCAATCTCAGTTTTAGGCACATGGCAGGCCCAACGCGTCTTAGTGGCTTTCAGCTGCTGTCACCAGTACGAACACAAAACTCGTAGACTGCGAAGGGCCTCTTGGCAGCACTGTTGCCATTGGTAAGTGCATGATATATCACTTTCAACTTGAAAGCAGCAGTGTAGCTTCAGTGTCCCCCCATAATGTGATAAGATTACCGACACAACATACAAAACACGCCGCAACGTGCACTTGCCACTTTGGCTTGGCTTGGATTGGATTGAATCTCCGTGATATAATAGTACACTTGATGCTTAAAAAATGGCTCTAGATGGTGCGCGCTATCATCATCAGGTGTTGGAATGAGCAGACGACATTCTTGCAGTAGTTTTCAGGGGTGCTATAATTACTCGAGGAAAAAAAAATAAATCGTATTTTTATTGGGCAATGTTGGGGGCGGGAGTATTATGGGAGTGCGAGGATTAGATGAGTAAATATATATTGATTATGAATTGCTTCATGTACGTGTGTGTGACTACATATTTTGAATGAGAATAGCTATCTTTTCTTGTGCGTGTTTGTACAAGTGCCTGTGATTCATTCACCCTTGATACCACTCCTGCATGGGCTCTGTTATGACCCTGCAGTAGACTGTAGGTAAATAAATAAATAAATAAATAAATTATGTTTTGTGGATGTGACATGCATTCGTTAGACTGAGACTGTGCAGACGTGTTTATTAAAGCAACCGGATGCATTGTACCGCGATGGTATCTCACAGGCGAGTGTGCGTGCACATGCATTAAACTAGGTTTGTGAACAGGTGTGTAAAAATATAGAAGAAAGAAAATCGAGCTCCAAATTAGGTCCTTTCATATGTGCTAGCATTCAGGTATCCTTGCTCCAGAGCTGTGTGCATCAACGTCTAAGCACCAAACCACTTTGCGATATATCCACTTTGCGAAACCACTTTGCGTTATAACCACTTTGTGAAAAGAAACTTCGCGTCTCCTGTTGATTACTTTTTTACACGTTGCCTTATACCTCATCCTGAGAGCTTTATGTCACTCTTACAGTCTCTGTACCGTTTGCCTGAGTCTTGCGTGCTACACAAGGCTTGTCACAGGTGCTATCTTAAGCGATACGACTGCTCTTGGCACAAACAAATTGTCAGTAGGTGAATTGGTTGATAAAGCAGCTTTGAAAAAGAACGTCATATCACGTTATATTGTGTGCAGATGTTGCTAGTGACTGGTTATACAAATATTTGTGTTTCATTCCCATGTGTTTTATATTAACTCAACCCAATATTCTTACTTATAATTTTCCTATTTTTCTTTGATTTCCTGAGGCCTGTAGCTGTCTCTTCTTACTGTCCCTGTTGGCTCTGAATCCACAACATGATGCAAACAAGTTGCTACATCAAAAGTTACTATATATCACGAATTACAACACAGGCAACATATTCAACAATTTGTGCATGTATTATACCATTCAGACCACCCCAGCGATGTAGCCTTTCCTCGTTGTTATGCTTACTAAAGCCTGTGATATTTTACACCAGAAACCTGCGTTTAGCGGAATCAACTTCCTTGGTCATTTTAGCTGACGCAGCATCTTTCAAAACCCCGCAACCAATCATCTTTTGAGATAAGTTGATTACCGATGTATTGCTGGGTTGTTTTAGCATGTTTAACCTGTTTCCAGTTTATCTGAAAGTCTTTTTTTTTTTCATTTAGTTTTTTTTACTAATGACTGACCCTTTGCAGCCATGTACCTGATCTACAACGTAATTGGGGACCTGGGGATATAACAGCCTGCATTCATGGCCATGCGGCATTTTTTATATGAAAATACTAACCATTTATGACTGCTTTTGCAAACCAAATGATCCCTTTAGTTATGCTTATACATTATATAATGATGTGATGCAGCCTCAATAAAATATGTATAAAACATGTGTTAAACAACAATTTAAATTACAACAACAATTAAAACAACAACAATTTTATTGTTACAATGTTGATAGCCTATGCCGTACCATACTTCTTATGTTTTGCAATTTTATATTACCTGGTTTTGTAACTTCTTCTACCCGTGTTTTGTTTCTCGAAAATATTGTCTAGCGCCTCTCACATAATATACCTACATGGGGCTTATAAGTTTTTAATGAATACAAAAAATAATGATACCTTGATGTGACAATTTAGCTAAATCATGTTGCAGTCAATCATATGTAAGTGTCGGATTTTAACAGTGCAAAACAGATAGAACGCACAGAAAGACACACATATACAGCAATACAACACGATTGGCACTGTATCTGTGTGCCTTTTTATGGATTCCCTTCATTCATGCTGTCACAATATCGAGTATGAACCAATTTGCCCAAGCATCATCAAGGACGACAAACATGCCCATCTCGCTGAAACCAGGGCTGAGGAAAGGCGACACTGACCTCTCTGATTTCCTTAATCTTGGAGCCTCCCTTGCCGATGAGGGAGCCGCACTGGCTCGCGGGGACAATGAGGCGCAGTGTGACCGGCGGCTTGGGCAGGTGGCTTCCATTGCTTTGCAGCTCCTGCAGGGTGGGCCCCACCGTCTGCACGGGAAGGCAGAGCAGAGACAACATCTGCTCGCTCTGTGAAACGTCCACCGCTCTAGCCCCCCACACCCCTGAGAAGCAGAGGGGCCGTATGGCCTACCACTGCCGGGCTCACCTCTTCAAACTTGCGGGCAATGAGCGAGAAGGCCTTCAGGATGGCCTCTGTGGAACCCGTGACAGTGACTATGCGCTCGGGGCATGACCCATCCGAGATGTTGATCTTGGCACCGCTCTGCGTTCAGTGAAAGAGCGAGGAAAAGATATTTAATGCTGGCACCTGGCTGCAGCTTCATGGTGAAGCCACGTAACACCAGAGAGAGAGATGGAGAGAAATAACATTTATTTACAACCATCGAGAATGACAGTAATATTAATATTTTTTGTGTTTAACTACTAAAAATCGACACATGGTTGTGAGAACCACTATAGTGGAGAGCTCTGAAAGTCTTCTCCACCTGGTGTTTTTTAATATGCACCTAAATCTAACTACATGAGCCACAAGAATTTTCGTCTTCATCGAAGATATAAGCGCCACAGCTGGAATGTGATCCTGCGGCCTGCAGCTCAGCAGTCTAGCAGCATAACGACTAGACCGTCGTCATAGGTGTTGAGAATGACAGGATGCACCCCTATTCATGCCGCGAACACCAGAAGATATGTGCAATTAGGTGTTGAGCATATGTAGTTGCTGGGAAATGGTATATGTTCAATGCCTGCCAATATTACTCGCAGTTCCACGAGTGTAGTGTGGCATCACTCTGTGTACAATGACATACAGTGAAAGAGCAAGTTAAGGACATTAAAGGTTTGCACCTGCCTGTACTGAGACTTCGTAGTGAAGTCACAGAAGAACCATATATGTCGATACTTGACAATAGCATACCTTGCAACTTGGTAGTGCAACAAAGTAAGATCTAGGAAGAACTTCAACTGGTGAGCTTTCACCAGTACAGGGCAATGGTACATGATAGACACCTTCAATCGTTTCTTGGAATGCGGGCAAAAGGATGAAAATGCTAAAAAATGAGGGACTGAACCTGAAATTGCCTAACTAAACTATCGACGGCCGTGTTGAAAGGATGTGTTTTTATAGACAATGCTGAACTGTCTGCACAATGCACTGAGGCAAGTTAGGAAGAATGTACTAACAACCACCATTTTGGTGCAAAAAAAAATATAAATAAATAAAACGATTCAATAGCTATTTGTAATGTCATGCACGTACTCCTAAAAGTCAGAGCATTTTTAAAACTGAACGCATTTAAGTGAAATGTTTGAATTTTATTCAGAAGTACAGGCAAACCTCCTTATGAGAGACACTGATGAAAGAGACAAATGGGTACAAAAGACACCAGTGTGCCTACATTGAAATAGGAGTTGATAAACAATGCACGCATGGTACCCTGATGATAACAGAGAAGACAAAAATTGCTTCCTGGTGCATGCCTCCTGTTCGAATGTACGTGCAATAAGATCAACAGAAAACCACAAGCTGAGCAGCATAATGTGCGATACAAGTTATGCAACTCACCTCTTCTCTGAACTTTTTTATGTTGTCCCCTTTCTGCAACGATAAAGGAACACAAAGAAAATAAATCACAGCAAGTTAGACTCTTTCAAATTACTCGACTTTACAGATCTCAAAAGCCATCTGTCAGGCTCTTACATTTGCCAATACCATAAAGCAGATGATTAGATTGTTGTAGCAACAAAGAAAAACTTAATCTTAATGCAGAGCAGAAAGGCAGTGTAGTCTACAAACTTTAATGAATGGTTGCAATGCAAACCAGATTTTTTTTTACAAAGCAAGAAAACTGATACATTGAAATGATACAACAAAGAGGCATACTTTAACAATAGTTCATAATTACTTTCTGAAAGAATATATACATCAAAATGAATATTTCCAAAGCCTAATCATTCTAAATTAATTACTACTCTGAATATTTCCAAAGCCTAATAATTCTAAATTAGTTACTACTCTGAATTGAAGACATCATTTTTTATGTAAAGGTCTTTCAAAGTGCAGAATCGGTACGTGACACAAATGTGAATTGGGGCAGATGGATTATTTAGTAGAAAACTGATGCGTGATGGTCCCTCCCAAAAAACATGAAATGAATATAGTCAGCTAAATTAATTTACACCAAGACATAATGTACCACACAGAAGAACTGCCTGCTACTAATTTCTTGACTTAATTTTCACTTCGACACCTTGGTCATTAAGACACAATTAAAATGCTAGTATAATGACATAGAACGTTGTAGGTCTATAAAAAACTATTTTGTATTTTCAACAGAGGCGAAGGCTGCACTTACTTTTCCTATGATGCTCCCCACTTCCTGCAAGCGGAAAAAAAAAATGAAAAGAAAAGGCATGAGAGTGGCACAAATAATGATAAAAAAAAACATGCTGGAACACCGATTGTAATTTGCAGAGATGTTTTTCAGATGTATAGAAAAAGGAAATTCTAAGCAAGGTGCCTGGAGCCCCAGTCATGGTAATACTGAAGTATACATTTTCCTTCTTGCAAAGGGTTGGCACAGAAAATTAATATAATAACCTGCTTCGGACCACTATCCTGCTTTGCCTCCGAAACTAAACATCAGTATTATTGCTGAGCCTTAAATACACCAGCACAGCACAGGATTCCAGAGAAACATGCAATAAGAATGAATCATAAATGGCTGTAATTATGCAGTTTTACATGCATTTCTTTCATGCTGCATTATTGACTAACCACTGCTGCAATTACAAGTATAGAGGGTGGAAACATTCAGATCATGCAAGATTGGTCTTAGGTTGACAGTGAAGTTTTTTTTTTTTGGGGGGGGAATGAGTTGTGGTGAGCTATGTCCTTTAGTTAGGGACGTGAAAAAAGCGTTGGGGCACTATCACACACATTTATTTCAGTGTTTAGACTAACTACATAAATCATAACATTGATGCTAAAGTGTACCAGGCTGGAAAGCCTAGTAGAGCTTCCTCAAACCTTTTTTTTTCCCGTGCCCTGTGCACTGTGAAGTGGTAGATATGTGAAATCAAGAGTTACAATCGACATATTCTTGCTGTTTCAGCGTGGAATTTTTGTAAAGACCCTAGTAATGAAGCACCAGGAAACCAAGGAATTCTTCAACATAAAAGTCACTTAATCATGGAGCTTGAATACCATGTCCTTTCTTGTTCTTAATTTACATCTGTGTTCATGAGATGATGTGGCATCCTGACCTACTACTCTGATCCCAGTTCTCCTTACTAGTGCTTTCTATGCAGAGTCATAGACATATGAAACAGAGAAAATAAATTAAAGTAGTGTAAGTTTCGCGAGTCGTAACTGGACAACGTTATCTTGGTCTGCTATTTAGGTTTGTCGTTGACAAAAACACATCACGTCTTAAGCGTGCAAGCCAGGATCACCTTGATATTACGAGCTCTGGCTGAAGCACAAATTAAAGAGTGAATTTTAGTACTTTTATATTTCATTGACTGTACCTTCATTGTAAAGTTACAAATAACTTATCAGTGATGCCTAAATTCTTGCCATTAACACATAATGTCAGAGCAGCACTTTCAGTACAGCATATTCACGGTACACATGGAAGAGAGAAATTCCGTTATACCGGTCATGCTATCGTACTTATATTCAAAAGTGTTTGCTGTAGAGGAATTTGAATGTATTTTGTATATCGGACACTGTTATCCGTTTTAATATTGCACAATAGCTTAAAGTTAGCTCAGAAGGCCATTCAATTACTTTAAAAAGTAGGTATGACACACAACACAATTATTTGGTTTTACGGCCCCACGAGTGTGACAGACAGAAAAATCACCAGGGACTTCAAAAGGTGACATGGTATGACAACTTGTTCATTTCGAGCACAATAACAACATAGAAAAATAGAACTTTGTCTGCGATGCTTGTAATTTATAACATTCTTGCGAAGTGTGGCAGCTCGGGCTATTTGGTATGGTATGACGGTAGGTTGTAGCGCGAGAACAAAACGACGACACAGAGACACACGTGGCTTTCTTGTCTCCGTGTCGTCGTTTTGTTTTCGCGCTACAACTATCGTCATTCTTGCGGAAGCAGAGCAGTTGCCACCATGCCACACTGGACTTTGGTTGAGAATTCAGACCCACGGGGAACGGTTTGCCATAACCAGACTACCCAGTTGCTGACACAGCTCCGTACTAGTACTATGCCCCAGCGGTGCCAGACTTGCATTCATTGCAGACAGAAAGCAATAACAGGAATAAAGCTCGGCAGCACGAGGGCGGGGGGGGGGGGGAACAAATATCGCAGTGTTGCGCATGCCGCCAAGACGAATGATAAAAGAGGAGAAAGGGGAGTGCCGCGGCGGGGTAGACGTGGGGGGAAGGCATCTTATCAAGCATGCCTGAACGGCTCTGCCGGGGCGGCGGCCGTACAAGAGCTCATTTCCTCGAGGCCGCTCGTAGGCACGCGTGTACTACCGAGCAGACAGGCATGGCGGGCAGGCGCTAAGAGAGCGGGCGCGTGGTGGAGAGAGCGAGTCGGCCGACTGGGGAAAAAAAGAAAGAAAATATGCCGCCAGCGGGGGCTCCGAGGCACGCTCGCCCATTTCCGCCTTTGTTCCCGCAGGAACAAAAGGAAGCGGGGGGAGCCGAAGAGGAGCGAGGCGACGCCAGGCTTCATAAACCTGGCTAGCAACGAGGAAAAGAAGCGAGGAACGACGCGGCACTTGGGCGCTTTACGGCGAGCCACGGAGGCTTATCTGGCGGGGCCAAGCCGCGCGCCAGAGGGCGTTACACAAGGCGGTAAACACGTGCCGGTGGCCATATAATGCAGCAGCAGCACACACCGCGGATCTCGAAGGACGCAACCGGCAAGAAAGAAATCCGAGATTCCCAACCGCAGGCACGACGACGTGCACAGCGCGACTATACGTCGAAGGAAGGAAAGGCGGCCGACGTGTCGCGAGGCGGGGCTGCGACACAACGTCTGGAGAAAGCGAGGGGCAGACCGAAGTAGAATAAGGAAAAGAAGCGGCGAGGAGGGCCTGACAGCCGGCAAAGCAAATTGTCGTACACCGGGCGGACTAAAATAGCGCCCGGGACACGAGAGGAGGACGGAAGGTCGTGATACGCGGGCGCACAAAGAGGCGGCACTGTTGGGGGCCAAAGGCGAGTGCCGGTGGCTCTCGCTAATAGCGTGCAGCGCACTGCCCTGCATCCGATCAGCGAATACGCTCGGGGCGCCTGTTGGCGCTGTAGGTGCCGCTGAACACAGCCGCCTGTCGAAAGCGCTTTGCTCCGAGTGTAGTTGAAGGGTGTAAAAGAAGTGCCGCGGAAAGCTCTGACAGCAGGTGACACCAGGTTTGAAACGCGGCGAAAGGCGGAAAGTAGTAGCTTTCCTTGCGTAACATTGAACAAGATAACACAAAAGCGTTCTTGAAAACATGTCGGGCGCAAATTTAAAGCGGGAGAAAACTACCGAAAACACGGCCGACATGCAGCGAATCGCTGTGTAGGGGCGAACAGCCCTATGTCCACAGCATACGATGGCAGGAAGAGGCTCAGCAGCAATGCACCATTCTAATAAGACACAGTTGATGCGCAATCACGAGAGAAGGTAGGAGAGAGTGAGGCTAGGTCCCAGGCGCCAGCATAAAACAATAAAGCGGGCAGCGGAGAAGGAGGGGAGCGAGGCGACCCGAGAAGCGTAAATAAAGATCCCGGTGCGGGAGAGAAAGAGTAGGGGAGAAATAGAGGGCGTAACATAAGACCTCGCGGGGTCCAGGAAGAAAGACAAAAGGCTTCTCTGAGAAAGCAAACAGCGAGGCCAACGTCACAAAGTTGCATATTCGGCAGAAGGGAGCTGCTGCAGCGAGAGATAGTTTGGCAAACAGGAAATAGCCTCGCTGGCCGCCAGAAGAGGTACGGATTTATTTATAACGCGCCGAGCATGCAAGTGCGCCCCGCCTCGGCGTGCGGTTCAGAAAAAGAAAGATCGTGAACGGCTCAAGATCTGGCGCCTTCGCTGGCAATTGCCGATCGTAAATCTAGCATTCGAACTCGAGCGTATAATGGCGTAGCGATGGCGAGCCAGTGTACCAACGCCGAGTTCATTTTCACGACTGTCGCAACACGAGGGCGAAGATGAAGCGTTGCCACACGTTCTTGCGCGTTTTATTTAAACGACAAGCAAGTCCGCTATACGAATACTCGAAAAAAAGGAAGCTTTATCTCATTATGTAACCGCGCAAAGAACGAACGGATACACATAGGAAGAGAAAAGCACAAGGTGCAGTTTGTACGCCGGTTTGTGCTTTTCTCTCCCTCTGTGTTTCCGTTCGTTTTTTGCGCAGTTGCACAATGAAGCATTACCCACTCTCCCATCTTACCACTCTTCCGCAACTTTATCTCAGTTATCCGAGCAGTACTCAAAGCAGTTGCTGACTTAAAACGAACACGGAATGGTACATTCGCCCTTACTTTGCAACAAATTGTTCAGTAGGTTTCTCCAATACGTCGTGTTTATTTGCCCTACAGAAAAGTACCATAACAAACAAACTTCCCTGTAAAGTGTGCACCACGCAATGCATGTAAGTGTGACAACAAAGCCAAATGTCATACAGCATCACCAAAATTTAAATTTCCCTGTAAAGGATGCATCACGCAATGCATAAAAGTGTAACGACAAAGCAAAGTAATAAACGCCAGCGCACGGTCGCTACAAATAGTCGTAGCTTTTCGGTATTTATCATTTAGAAGATTAAAAGACCCCTACAACTTTGTATTCTCCACCACTCCTCCTCATATAATTTCTGCTTTTCTCTACTCTAAACTTGCCTTTTGCTGTTAAGGAAGCAGAAGTTGTCTTGACGTGCGTAGCTACATCTCATGCGAGCTATCTACTCCAACCTAGCGATGTAGAGTTAGAAAAACTGGGCGCATGGTGGGTGTCGTGTATTCCCGGTCGCCCAGATTTTCCTTTCACGTTCTTAAATTTTAGTACAATATTTCACTTTGAAAAAATTCTTGCCACGCGGCATACGCTCCTCTGCACGCGAATAACCTTCTCAAAACTGGCTCTCGCAACATAACTAGCAATGACCAATCACAAATGATTTCACCCGAAATGAGCAGGCGCAAATATGACTCATCGGCAAACGCAAACAATCACTAAGCTTTTCGCACCGCTCAGCGACTTCCGCCGGAAACCCCTTCTGTATTTCGCCAAAATCGTCGGACGCGACAAAGGTGGCGCAGCCTGTACAGTCATCCCCGGTTCTTTCTGCAAAAAGGCAAACGGCACGAAACGCCAGCAGCAGGACGAAGAAATAAGGAACGCCGCAGGTTT